CCCCCCCTTTGATGGCATTTGGTTAAATAAGTGGCTCTATCATATGGAGTAGTTTTTTTTTTTTAATGACGGTGGTGCAGGCCAGCTTGCGCGCACCTCAACTATTGCACTGGGTACTTGTTACCTCCTACCGTATAGGTACCAGGTAACTATGTCCACCACCAAGGCTTAGGCAATCATAGTAAGTAGTTATTCCAAGTTAATTGATACGTACTTAATACGGGTAAAGTATAAGTATCTGCCTATCTGGTGTGGGTTTTATGCTAATTTTTAGTCTATTTGAATGCCCATAGAGTATCTACACCCATCCCAAACCAAACCCCTCCCCCAGACCAGAAAAAATGTGAGACAAGCAAACTAAGCATTCTTCTAAAAGCTTCATACATCTAAAACTAACACATTCAATCAAATAATCGTAGAAAAACAATATAAACCCTACAAGCCGCAGTTAACTGCTCACCAGAACACCAAAAAAAAAAAAAAAAAAAAAACTCATATAACACCCCTTGAAGTGTGGCCCTTCCCTAAGGGGGATGCTTCGTGCACCGAGACCGCCCTTTTATACAAACCACCAACACTGATAAAGAGTCCGCAATGGAAACAATAACAACAAATTACAACAACAACAACAACAAACCCAGCTTAATCCCATATGTGAGGTCTGGGGAGGATAGTGTGTATGAAGCCTTATCCCTATCCTGTAAAGACAGAGGCGGTTTCCGATAGACCCTCAGTTTAAGGAACAGTAAAACTAAATCAACAAGCAATAGCAGCAGTAATGTAATAAGGTAATGGAAGCGAGTGACATAACAAGTAAATAAAGAGCCAGGAATAAAAGAATACTATTGTAAACCTAGGAAAAACTCACAACTACCTGTCAACCTACCACCTTACTCATCCACCTCCACACCTTCCTATCGTGGGTCATTGCCTAAATATAGTTTCTACAAAAGAAGCAAAACAGAGGAGACTAAAAAATATAAACTTCAATATTAATTTGCACGTGTGTAAGTAGGTACCTGAGTAGCATCATTGGAGAGGAGAGGGTCAACGGCGACGACGACTTTAGCGACAGGCGCAGGAGAAACAAAGGAAGAGAGGCCGTCATTGTCAAAATTAAGAGGAGGAGTTGAAGAAGAATGTAGATGTTGTTGGAAGAATGTGGAGACAAGGGTAGGGCATTTCATCAGCCACACATTTCTGTCCGGTTTATTCATCTCCAAATGGCTGTTCATCGTTACGCCATGCACGGCTGCACTCTTGAGGTTGCTTCCGCTCATTTTCTCCGCCATTTCCTATTACGGTATACGGCAGTTGGGGTTTCGGGAATCGCAGATTTTGTGATTATTTAAAGGAATCCACTGTAACAAACCATGCAAGATTTTTCGAAATTAAAAAAAACAATAATGCTTATATATGGGAAAATAACGCGAAGGGGGAAAAAGAAGAAGAAAAGATTCTGGCCGTAAAAACATTAATTACTGGAAAGAAAGACAGCAATTGTGATGCTCATATGAAGAAGAAGAGAGGAAAAAGTATTATACCAAAGAAGGATGATATCAAATTCTCTTTTCTTTCTTATAATATTTAAGTGTGATTTTTCAAGAAGTTACATTAATTAAAATACGGAAAAGGGCTTAAATTACCCCTATCGTATCTTAAATGATTTATAAAATACCTCCGTCCATCTATCCGTCTGAAAATATATAGGACGTTAATTCCATTATCAAATTTACCCCGCGACTAACGGAACTCCATATGGGCCTCTCATTAAATGATGTGGCATTCTTTCATTTGTCCACGTGGCTCAGTGGGGCTGACATTGTATTTGGGTAATTTTCGACCCATTTAACCGATCCGACCTACTCCTTTTACCTTATAGCCACTCTTTTAACCATATACCCACATATTTTACTCGTCTTCTTCCCCAATTTAGAACCTAGGTCATCAGGTTGCTTACCCGATTCTTCTTCCCCAAAATTTCTCCTTTTCAACTAATTAAATCTTGTCTTTTTCCTTCAAATCTTGTGGTTGGCTGTAAAAGTTCCGCCTTTATTGAATAACAAAAAATTCAAATGTCTGGAAATTTTGTCTCTTCTGGTTCGTTGCGTCGTTGTGGCACTACAAGAAAAATGGCCTATGGCAACACCGATAAAACCGTTGCCAAAAATAGAAAAACCGTTGCAATATTCCTATTGCGACGGATTGGGCTCCGTTGCAAGATAAGGCGTTGCAATTGGTCTATTGCAACGGTTTTTTGCGATGGTTTCGGAGCCGTGGTCATAGCGGTATCTATCGCAACGGTTTTACAGTAGCCTAATACAACGATTATTAAAAGCTATCGCAACGAGCATGAACCGTTGCAATACGACTATTGTAACAGTGCAAAACCGATGGAATAGACCTACTGCAACAGTTTGTTGATATAGTTTAGCTTATTTATTGCAATGGTCATTACAAGCTAGTGTAACAGTTATTTAAGCTATTGCAACAATTTTTCGAGCTATTACAACATTTATTACAAACTATTGCAATAATTTTTACGAGCTATTGTAATGGAGTAAATTATAATACGCTGGAATTTATCCATACCATTAAAGGAAACTATATTCATCCACAAAATCATCATAAAAAATATCCAACTAGTATTATCCAAATATAAGAGAATATTGACTAACAATTCAAGAGTTAGATTGCATATAAGTTTGCAAAATATTCAAAAATAAGTACAGTCCCAAAATATCTGAAGGTATAGATCAACCAATACTCTTTAAGTAAGGTCTTCACTGCTTTCATCTTCCATTTGTTCGTTTTCTTCACCTACAAATTCAAGACATAACAATATTTAGAGGGTAAGGAAAAAAATAAGCATATTCAACCAGTACTTCAACAAGTAAGAAAATTGAGGTTATCTTCAACCAACACTTCATCTATTTACTACTGTAACTACTTTTAGATGACTAGTTTTTGAAGTACAAAATTTATAAGATCACATCAATAATAATAGTAAATATGTGTGTAAGCGCCAAGACCATTGTAAGCGCCAACAGTCCCATCATATTGATGTCAGGGATGTTTTGAACGCAAAGAAACAATAAAATTTGGAGCTTGCTAAATCTACGGGAGCTTGGTTGATATTGGAACAGGCAGGGCTTCACATGTATTGGAGGTAGGTTCAACAAAGGAGAAGGACAATCCTAATCCTAGTTTAACTGGACTGTTGGTGCTGAACAGATTGTTCCAGCTGGTGTTGTTGGTCGTGGTGCAGTTTAGAATCGAGCTAATACAGGTAGTAATCAACAAGGAACTCATGAATCAAGGAGTTAGGAGTGGTATTGATGCTCTAGAAACTATGCAGATAAAGCTATCTGTACTCTTTTTCCATACTAATGAATCCTATTTGTTTTGATCAATGTGGTAGATTCCAATTGAAGGAGCAACTGGCAGAAATCTACTATTTCTCAATCATTCAAACTCCTTCAGAAACTCACCTGCCAACTTGAATTTGAATAATATTCAGCCACAACCCCATCTTTGTTATTACAACAACTAAACAGATCCGGAAATTTTGATTTTCAATCACTCATCACCAGCACATAAACAGAAACTAATCACTCATCACCATCACATAAACAGAAACTCAATCACTCATCACCAGCACATAAACAGATCTGGAGCAGTTGTGCATAAGGAATATACACAAACAGCTGCTGAAAAAACAGCAGCTCCTATAGCTATTGCTGTGCAATAGGTAGGTGTGGAAGAAAGAGCTGGACAGGTGCTTTTCCAGGCAAATATGGACAGTTGTGAGGTAGAATACATCACCAGGCGCAAATAAAAAATAGCAAAATTTGACTATTTCAGCAGGTCGACAAAAAGCTCCAATGACAGTAGTTAATCGAGCTCAATACACTGTTAGAGCACCCATCACTTTAAATTCAGGATTAATTAAAAAAATGTAAATTTCTAACTGTACAATCTAAAAATTAGAAGCATCAATTACAGGATTGCGAGGATTCTAACCTTGATTGTTGCTACCAAGAGATGGTCGATGAATTAGGTGAAAAGCTGCTGCTTGTGTTGAGGAAGCTTGACCCAATGGACGAGAATACAATGTTGCTAAAATATTAGCATCAATTGGTAATCCAGAACGTTGAAGTTTTGCTATGATATCTTCTACAATTTCTTGTCTCATCATTGTCTTTTGTTCCTCATATTGTTCCTTCTGTTCCTCAATTTTTTCCTCCAATCTTATCATCCTCTCTTCCATCTTTTGCATGTGATCATTTGTTGCATTTGAAGAGGGTTCAAAATGTCCCACTTTTCCTTTCAAAGAGGCTTTTGTAACCCCCCGCCCATACAATCTCAAACGTCCCGGATGTTCGGGTCCCATAATTGATGCAAATGCATTAATTGACTCATCACCATTTTCACTTTGTTGCGTTTCGATACTCTCCATTTCAGCCTATTATACAAATAAAAAAAGAGAGAATTCCAGTAAAGAAAAAGTCAGTATGAACATATTTTTCATCCAAACAAAATAGAAACATAACGAATTCGCACAATTTTTCTAGTTGTATCTTCATTCGATTCCTTGTATGTTCGACCGGGTTTTCTTTGTCTTGTAGCGACAAAGATATCCTTAAGTGATAGTGGATCAGAAGTTTCTTTCTCTTTTTCCTGGACACATTAAAAGTAGTATAAAATATCTTCTTAAAAATGATAACAAGTTCATATTTAATGATAAATAAGAGCAGATACCAAATCATTGCGGACTATAGCAAAGCTTTTTTTGCCAGCAGTGTGTGGATCCTTTAACTTTTTCCGATTCTCAACATTAGTTGCTGACATTTTCTGCAAGTAAAATAATAAATTTCAATTCAAAACTGTCATAGAAGGAAAATAATTGTTTTTCCTTCATGAATATTTCTTGACAAAGCTTAACATAAATGAAACTGTTTCTCAAAAACATACCTTGTGTTTATCAGAGTTCCAATATTTGAGAAGTTCCTTAAATTGATATGCTGGAATATTTTCAGGCTTTTTTTCCATTCGAATTTCATCGTTTTGATATGCTTTAAAGTGATCTTTTTTCAATTGACTCTTATACCTTCTCCAAGCACCTTGAATTGCATCCAGAGTCCACTTTTTTGCAATTTCAGAAATATTATATTTTTCCTATAAATTGTTTCAATGGGTTAGTGCAAAAATATTAAGCATGTTCAACCAAAAATAAAATTGAGAACTGAGAACCTTTGTATATTCCCACAAATCCTCTTTTGTGTTAATTTTCCTCCAATCAAATATATCAAGAGGACAAAAGGTCGAATTCCTTGCCAATGTACCGAGGAAGCTGCCAAACTTCATCACAACATCTTTAGTAGGACCAACAGGTTGATCAAACTCATTGACCACAATTAACTTACGTTCACTCCTTCCATGTACATTTAGCATCCTTGTTTTACCTCTTTTTCTTTTTTTAGTACAAGATCCTACAATAATACAAATCAAAATTATCCTCCAATTTAGTAAAATAGATATAGGATGTCACTACTTTAATGTAAAATCTAAATTTTCTTACCTTGTTCATCTACTGTAGGAGCATTAGCATCCAATTGCACTTCTTGCTCTACTGATTGTGTTGTAGGGGTGGTTGAATCACTTTGTAAATGGGCTCCTACCCTCTGATGTTGTGGCATTGGTAGCTGATGTTCTTCCATTAAATTATTCAGAACCTGACGCTCTTCATTTAACCGTATAGAGCTAGCTGGAATATTCGTTTTTCTGGTCCGCATCAACCTTTTCTGATTTGCCAAAGATGTAAGTGTTCCAGCTTGAACGAATGTCGAAATTTTCACTTTTTTCTTTTATCTTGTCCCTTCTTGAATCATGACTACAATTTTGAAGCAAATAAAGATATCAGTAGAAGTGGTAAAGAGGGAATGAAAATTATCAAGAGCAGAAACACAAAGGAAGTCACAGATAGTCATAAACACAAAGGTGAAACAGGATATTATGCTACACAGATTTCCTATCATAAGCAAGGTACTAAGGCAAGCTAGATCAGCTGTATTGGAAGAGTTTGGACATGCAACTCAACTAGAAGTTAACATTTCAGTTTTTCAACATAAGGAAGACTTCGAATTGTACCAAAAACTTTCCATTCCTATGCGCAAGATGACAAGCTGTGCACATGACAACTCAGATTTCAAACAATAAATCTACTGCTTAATGGATAATGCAGAGGGAGAACTCTATTATGCAGGAGTTCAGTCACTCATTTACCATATTCTAATCCATATGGAGAAGAGCATGGAAATGAGGGTTTCACTAACTATGTTTGCTATTTTTGCAGGGACTACCTTTGTAAGAATACCTTACATTAGGATACAACTCCAAAGGGAAATAGCACCTCAAGCTCATTCCCTTGGAGAAGGATCAAGTGTAAACAGAAGAATGAAAGCTATTGATAAGGAGGAGCAAAATAACACAAGGACCCAAAAGTTCTTTAATCCAGTAACTCAGGACC